CAATATTATTCAGGTTAGGTTACGTAAACACTTGACGATATTGTGTAGAGTCACCTTTCTTTACATTTGACCAATAAGGGAATTATTATTCAAATGATGTGTGATTCTTTGTAACCAATTATGCTTTTTGAATATTATTTTCATGATGGTGTCATTCCAAGTATAAAACGTCACGTATTTCCTGATTGTGCTCAGAAAGCAGTCAATTTTTGATAGGTTTGTTTGGCCTAACTGTTTTCAGGTGTCTTGATTGCAATTAAAACACTAAGCTCTTCCTCCTCATTTTGACTCCAGTTTTTTACTGGGACTTTATTTGTATAACCAGGACTCTTTTTGTAGAAAAAGCCCAGCGGGAACTCATTAGCATAATAGGCCACACCCAACAGCAGAAACTCATTAGCCTATTAGGCCACACACCCTGACTGCACTGCTCATTAGCATATTAGGCCACATTCCCATGTTACCAGAAGTGTGGTCATCCAGCCACACCCACCTTTTGCTTCTTATTCTGTTTACCTTGTTTGTTGTCCAAACCCAGGGCCTTTTTTTGTAGCAGGAACTCCTTTGCATGTTAGGCCACACACCCCTAAAGTAGCCAATCCTAATGAGTTTCTGCTCTTGGGTGTGGCCTATTATGCTAATGAGTTCCTGCTGGGCTAGGCCAACTTGGGAGCCAGCCGGAACTCCGTTCCTGTGCGTTCCTGCCCAAAAATAGCCCTGTGTATAACACTCTCACACCGAGAGAGTGATCTGAGCAGGAGGAAATGCTGCTTGGAGGCAGAGACCGGGGAGTGCAGAGGGCCTTCCATCGCCATGGCTTGGCCCGGTGCTGAATTGCATGCCTGTCACAGTGGGAAGGGATCTCACATGAATAGCTCATGGAGGCTGTTGGCACCGCATTTCCCTTTCCGTTCGTGCAGATGCCGACGTCTGGGCCTGGATAGTCTTCCCGCACGTCCAGAGGACTAGAACATGCCTCTAATTAGCAAATGTTTGGCCAAACAGGGGGGGAAACCCCCGAAAGCCTTTGTTTAACAAATACTGTCTTATTCTCTACGATTTCCCACAGGTACAATCTGATGCTCCGCTGCTGGAAACAGGAATCAGATAAGAGGCCAACATTTGCTGAGATCAGTAAAGAATTAGAGAAAATGATGGTGAAGAGTAGGGTAAGTGCTTTCTGCTCTTTAGCGCTCTTCACGACAGCTAGCCAGGAAGGCTTTCCCCAGTGTGAGGATTTATATGTAATTCATTGGTAAGACTTTAAAAGTCTTTGGCTCCGGTCACACGGGCTGGAAGATGCGTGGGGGAAGCGTGGCTGTTTGCCCCGGAGCAAAATAACGTGCGGCTGCGCAATCAGACGTCTGGTTGAGGTCCCTCGAGGTCCCATGGTTAGGGGGGAGGTGCCAATCACACCACAGGCAAAGAAGCGGGGCGGGGCGGCTAACGGGGTTGTGTATTTTTAAAAACTGAAGTGTGTGCATGCTCCGTTGGGTGCTTGTGCGCATCCCATGGAGACTTTGGGGGGGGGATCCTTTTTGCGAGGGGACATGGGCGGGCGCCGGATGCCACCGGAAACACGATCAGACGCCCACCCTTGCCCCGCGGTTTCCGGAAACTAGTACCTCGGAGGTACTAGTTTTTTACCCCGCATCTTCGGCGGGAAGCCTCAGGTGAGCCACAGGAGCTCTACGCATCCCAGATGTGGCGGTGTGATCGCGCCCAGAAAATCCGCCTATCTCCCGTCTCTGTAGCGTGGCTAATGCTCTGTGTGACTGCAGCCCTTGTCTGTTTTTCCCCCACACCATTCGTATTTGGAAAGAACTCAAATGAGGACACAGCAGTCGCATTTGAAAGGGCAGTAAAAGAGCAGTCGCACTTGAAAGAAGGGACACGACTGGGTATCACACAGCAATTAGAGGGAACAGTGGCAGAGATTGGCATACAGGAGGTCCCTGGTTCAATCCCCGGCATCTCCAGTTAAAAAGAATAGGTAGCAAGGGATGGGAAAGACCAGGCACGCTTCTCCAGCAAAGGGAAGGTGTTTAAACTTTAAATACCTGTCCTTGTTTCTGACGCTCGTGTCAACTCAGCGGAGCAACTCCCCGGCTAAGGGAAGGTACTTAAACTTTAAATACCTTCCCCTGGCTGGGGTCACCCCGTTAAGGGGGCATTTGGGGAGGGACATCATGGGACCCAGGAAAAGACCGATCAGAGGGCATTTGAATGCCTTTTGAGTTCCCTTCCACAGGGCAAGAAAGCTTAGAAGGGCACTCAAAGAGTGGCTAGAAAAAGGCCCGGAGCCTCCTCCTTTAAAGACAGGCATTCAGATTAATTTAATTAACTGTAATTTAACTGCCCTCTTAAAAATTGTAATGCCTCCTGATCAAAGAAATCCTGGCTACAGGCCAGATGGGAAGGCCTGGGCCTGTTTGCTCATCCTCCCGGGGTAACAGACTGGCCACTGTGTGAAAAAAGGACGCAGGGCTAGATGGACGCATTGGTCTGATCCGTTCGTTCTTCTAAGGAGAGCCTTGTGCGGTCGGATCAAACTAGTTTCTGCACTTTGTTTCTAGGAGAGTGTCTGGAATGCACGAAGGCAGAGGCCCCCTTTCCTGTGCCCTCTGGAGCATCCTAAACTGAAAATCCATCCCTGCGGCTCGGCACAAGTCACCTTCTGGACCTCTCCAGAAGGAAACAGTGTTTGCGTTCTCACCATTATCACAGACCTCCCCCCCCCCCCCCCGGGTCTGACCCAGGAAAAGACCGATCAGAGGGCATTTGAATGCCTTTTGAGTTCCACAGGGCAAGAAAGCTTAGAAGGGCACTCAAAGAGTGGCTAGAAAAAGGCCCGGAGCCTCCTCCTTTAAAGACAGGCATTCAGATTAATTTAATTAACTGTAATTTAACCGCCCTCTTAAAAATTGTAGTGCCCCCTGATCAAAGAAATCCTGGCTACAGGCCGGATGGGAAGGCCTGGGCCTGTTTGCTCATCCTCCCGGGGTAACAGACTGGCCACTGTGTGAAACAGGATGCGGGGCTAGATGGACGCATTGGTCTGATCCATTCATTCTTCTAAGGAGAGCCTTGTGCGGTCAGATCAAGCTGGTTTCTGCACTTTGTTTCCAGGAGAGTGTCTGGAATGCACGAAGGCAGAGGCCCCCTTTCCTGTGCCCTAGACTGAAAATCCATCCTGGCGGCTCGGCACAAGTCACCTTCTGGACCTCTCCAGCAGGAAACAGTGTTTGCGTTCTCACCATTATCGCAAACCTGTCCCCCCACCCCCGGGTGCTTGATCACCAGTTGTAACTAGCTCTCAAGCTCCATGTGAAATTAAAGCGTAGCTCTTGGGGGTGGGGGCGGCATAATTTTCCAGACTCCAGAAGGCCTTCTGTTAGGCAACCCTAACTCCAACGTGGGAAATTCGTGTAGATTTGGTGGTGAAGGGGGTGAGAGAGGATGTGATGTTACCCTAGGACATACCATAGAGTCTGCCCTCCAAAGCTTCCCTTTTCTCCTGGAGAACGGATCTCCGCCACCTGGAGATGTCACGCTCCGGGGGTCGCGAACAGGGAACAAACGGCCCCGGGACCCCCAGAGAGCCCCCAGCAACCCTCACGGCCCGGCGTACGAGAAGACGGCGGGCGCGACCTACCGCAGGAGAACCCGGACGACGGACGGAAAGTGCAGAAAAGGGCAACTCGAATGATAAAAGGGTTGGAACACTTTCCCTATGAGGAAAGGTTAGGGCGCTTAGGGCTCTTTAGCTTGGAGAAACGACGACTGAGGGGGTGACATGATTGAGGTTTATAAGATTATGCATGGGATAGAGCAGGTAGAAAAAGAGGTACTTTTCTCCCTTTCTCACCATACAAGAACTTGTGGGCACTCCATGAAACTGCAGAGCGGTCGGGTTAGAACGGATCAAAGGAAGTCCTTCTTCACCCAAAGAGTGATTAACACATGGAATTCACTGCCACAGGAGGTGGTGGCGGCTACAAGCATGGACGGCTTCAAAGGGGAATTAGATAAGCATATGGAGCAGAGGTCCATCAGTGGCTATTAGCCACAAGGTATAGATAGGGGCTCTGGGGCAAGTGATGCTCTGTCTTCTTGGTGCTTGGGGGGGTCAACAGTGGGAGGGCTTCTAATGTCCTGGCCCCACTGGTGGACCTCCTGATGGCACTGGTATTTCTGGCCACTGTGGGATACAGAGTTTTGGACTGGATGGGCCTTTGGCCTGATCCAACATTGGCATCTCTTATGTTCTTATGATGTTGATAACCCCAACCCTCTGCTAATGTACCACATTCATCGCAGAAACCCGACCTTCCTGAAGCAGACTAAAAGATCTCGGCACATGAATGGCTTAGGGAGTCCTCCCTGCCTGGCTGATCAATCTCGCTCATTATACCCTTCCGCTACCTTGGAAGAGGCACAGGATTAGGGGGAAGGGGGAGGGAGGCAGGATTCCCAAGGCCGCCTGCCAGACTTACTACTGTGTCAGCTTGCTGGCAAGGAGCAGCGCTGGCTCGTGGGGTGCAGTAATTGAGCATATGTCTGAGGGAGCGTGGCTGGTGTTACTCCAAACAAATGCGTCACCAAGGATACTACGCTCCCGGAGGAAGCAGGAGTCGCCGGTGATCTCATCCCCACTGCTGAGCGCCTTTTCGTTGTTCGGTTTGAGGGATGGGAAGCACACGTAGAGGCGATAGGCGACGGGAAATGGGGTTGCCAACTCCACGTTGGGAAATACCTGAAGATTTGGGAGTGGGGCCTGAGGAGGTGAAGGACTTTGACAGTGGCAATTTTAAATTTGGGGTGGGGTGCAAGGTTCCCTCTAAGCTGTGGTGTCTTGTGAGCAAAATTACTACTTTGTGAGCTTCTGGCATTAAAGTTGTGAGCGGGCGATTTGGCTGCTGCATAGATTAGTTTGCTCTGGAGCCATCCCTTCCCGAGCTGAGACAAAAATGTGTGCGCCGGAGGCTAAAAACCTGTGAGCTAGCTCACACTAACTCAGCTTAGAGGGAACACTGTGTTTTCTGGATCTCTTTAAAAAACCTTTATTTGCCACCTCTCTTCTTGACGGAGCTCAAGGCGGCTTATGGACATCTATTTAAAAAACATTAAATTATTTTGTATGTTTATATCTATTTTGTTACAGGGCTGCGGTGGCTCAAGTGGTTAAGACGCTGAGTTGCAGACCGGCAGGTCAGTAGCTCGGCAGTTCGAGACCCGAGTGTGCCGCATGACGGAGTGAGCTCCCGTCTCTGGCCCCAGCTCCTTCTAACCTAGCAGTTCGAAAGCAAGACATTGCAAGTCGATAAATAGGGACCGCTATAAAGGTGGCAAATAAAGGTTTTAAATAAATACATTGTTAAATGGTATAATACTGTAGAGACGTGACCCACTCTCTAAAGGAGGGGGGGAATGATCTTCATAGTCTGGAGTTGAGTCGTGGTTCTGGGACCTCTTGTGGCCCCAGGGGCGCAATGTCATGGAGTCCACTTTCCAAAGCATCCCTTTACTCCGGGGGAACTGATCTCATATCTATATTCTGGAGATCAGTTGTCATTCCAGGAGATCTCCAGGCTCCACCTGGAGGTTGGCAACCCTACCAAAGAACTGCATGGCTTAACTGCACCCTAACCCTGTCCTTCTCTTTGTCTGCTTAGGACTATTTAGATCTTGCAGCGTCCACCCCTTCCGACTCCTTGCTTTACGATGACGGACTCTCAGAAGAGGAGACGCCCCTCGTGGATTGTAATAATGCTCCCCTCCCTCGAACCCTCCCTTCCACATGGATTGAAAACAAACTCTATGGTAGAATTTCACATGCATTTACTAGATTCTAGCAACGTGCGCACACACACGCCCCCCCCCCACCCCAAGTGATTTTCTTCTGCACTGTCCTCACACTCTCTGTAACGCCCTCTAGAGTGTTATTTGTCTGAATGAAACCAACTGAAATTTTGCTTGGCAAAAAAAGTCTTTTCGTTTTGTCCGTTCGTTTGTCTGTTTCGTTTGTCACTGTCCAACTCTGCGTTGGGTTCTTCCTTTAGCCGTTTTTTTGGCAGCTGCGTTTAAAATTCAAAAGGATGTGAAAACACGCAACGTTACTAGGTATCTATTGTATGATTTAAAAAAAATAAAAATCCTAGATCAGGGAAGTACACTCAGGGGGGAGTTTAAGACGAATGCTAGCGAATATTCGATTCAGTCGATGCTTTTGTGTATCCATGGGGTGGGAACGCTTACGTTTTACATCTCAAATTTTAAGCGGTAGGGTTTCCCCCCTTTAATTAAGGATATCTGCTTGAGGTTGGAGGTTTTCTCCCGCATTTCACCGTTAGAATCGATTGCATAGTCTTCTCGTTTTTGTTCCAGTGGATTCCCGAATCCCAACTGTCCTCTGTATATTTTAAGTTTTTCAGTCCGCCAGTGGCTTCTTAGGAAGCAGTGGCATTTAGGAGGCTGCTTGTCATACAGGGAAGCCAGGGCAGAGCAAGTGCAGCCGTTAGAGTTCCTTGAAAAGCCAAACCAGGGAGGACCACGACGGAACAACCTCTGCTGTTTTCACATGCTTTCTTTTTCGGTTTCTCATGACGATGTCAGCATCTAAGCCGTGTTTTAAATGTTGTCGCAAGGAATGTGCTTTAATATTGTGGTGGTGAGATGGACAGTAAAGACGGTTCTTGCCAAAACTCCTACAGTTTTTTTAAATTTTTTGGCCTCGTGATTCCATACATGCCATTGAACTCTTGGACGTTATTTTTAATTCAAACTGCATAGTCCCACCCACCCACCCTTTACCCCCATCTCTCCCTTTTTTAATTTGTCAGCCGCTAGATACTGATTCAGGGTTTCGTTTAGGAGCCCGGATTGCCAAGCCGGATTCGTATATGGTTTCCCAAAATAATGGTCTTTTTGTTTTAAACCCCCCCCCCCATAATAATGCTAGGCTAGAAGTCAAGGAGCTAACCGAATTGCCCCTTTGAACGGCCTTGTCCTATCACTATTAGGTTCGGGTTCCAAAGGAGACTCTTGAATCCGGCTTGGTCTGAAAGCCATAACGGGCCCCTTCCCATTGACCAGTTGTGATTCTTCCCCACAAACAAAGCAGAAGCAAGTTAGCCGTTGAGGGAGAGGGGGGAACAGGAGCTAGAGGCCCATGGGGCTCCGTAGAAGTCAGTCGCTGTCAGGGAAACTTTTGGTGAGCCCAAAGCTAGCATGAAGCAACCACTTATCTGCAGCAGTCCTGTTTGTTGCAATAGGACGTGTTTTCAGGCCTGAAACGTGCATGCTAAGTGTTTTCAGGATCGCATGCACAGGCCTATTACTACTTTGAGCACTTTATTTATCAAAGGAATACTCCACTGCAATAACCAACCTGCCGTTGTATTCCCGTGAAACTATCCAAAGACTTATCAGGCACAAATGCGTTTAGCTTGTCCTGGGATCTCTCCAAAGAGCACTTTATTTTGTTTTGTTTTTCTCTCCGTCCTTTTTTTTTGGCTCGCGTTGCGACTTTTGCTCTTTTCAGTGCCTTCGAAACACAGGTCTCTCGTTTGTGTTTTTAGGGGGAGGAGGGGGGAAACACACCCACGCACCCCACCCCGTTTTGCAAATTTGGCGCGCCACCGTTGTGAAGGGAGTTTTGCCAAGGGCCGTACTGTCTGCACATGAAGTTGTGGTTCTTCAGTGCAGAAAAAATTATCTGTTTTCATTTTTAGGCATGTCATACCCGAACTGGCCTGAGGAGAGCCCCGTTCCACTCACGAGATGCGATGGCCCTATGTCTGTGTTTTCAAGATATGCAAATGATAGTGTATATGCTAACTGGATGGTTTCACCCTCAGCGGCAAAATTTATGGACAAGTTTGATAGTTAACAGTGTCTTGGTGAAAGGTAATGGACTCAGGAGGGGGAGCAGGTGTCCAAAGAGGGGGCCCCTCCCCTTGGCACATTCTTTGTATAATAACCGGTTACGGCAACAGGAGTTTCTAGACTGGGAAACCTTTCCCCTGCCTTTTGGTAGTTCCTACTGTGACTTCCCCCAGCCCTCTCTGTCGTGATGAATACTCTAATTGACTCTCCCCCCCCTTGTTACAAGCATATCAAACTGGGTCATGTTCCAGTTCCAGTATGTGTTTTGGTTCGTGGCAGTCTCCAGGTAGTCGGGTTTGGTATCTGTGTTATCACTTGTCGCCGATGGACTTCATGCTTACGGCGTTTTAGGACAGCAGCCCAGGACTGGAACCGTCAGAGAGGGGGTGTGGGAAGAAACCCTGGTGTCACTTTACAAACTGCTACTTCTGTGCCCAGTGTGAAGGGGAAAAGGCAAACTGAGCGAAGCGTGAAGCACAAATTATACAATGGGAACAATTTGCTCCAGAAAATTCCTGAGCTTGCTCTAGACTTCAGCGTTACCGTGTTGTTGGCAGTTAACAAGTTCTGAGTTTTAAAGAGCTTTGAGTGATTTGGGGGGGTCTGTGTTGAGGGTCGACATTAGAAATCTTGGAAACCTGTAGAGAAAAAAATATATATTGTTCTGTCTTAATGCAAAAAGAGAGGGTTTTGTTTCTCTAACCTTTAGCACAATGGGAAACTTTAATACCAGATATGCTGTATTTAGAGACTTGATCTCGTGATATTGTTTTCATTCACATTTGTTTTAGTGATGTCTCAAAATCTCCTCAGGATGTCTTGAAATGAGCGAAAGTGAAGGGCCCTGGTTTGCAGGCACGCCCACCGGGCTTTCGTCCTCTCAGCTCAAATTCTTAATTTCTAACCATCCGTTTGCACAGCCCAGGTGTAAAGCTGGCTCTGTGTTAAAATATGATCGACAGGTGGAGAGTCGGCCTTGAGAAAGCATGTTTCCTTACAGTAAATTTCTCCGTGGGTCCTTCCCCCCCTGCTGTCAATTGCAGCTTATTGACAATAATGTTAACCACATACAGGGATAAACCGTTTTTCCTCTATCCCAAGATCCAAAGCCACACTTTATTCTGCAGTTTCATATCCTGGATAAGCCGAAACCATCATTATCCTAACTTAACCATGGTTAACATTGGTGCTGCCCAATAGAATACGGTTATAAGGAAGGGGCGGATGTCTGCAGTGGGCAGCATATATTCTCAGGGCTGGTTCCCGATTGGTTAAAAGGCAGCCAGCGTTCCATCTGGGCCGGCCTCCCGAGAACGTGCAATTGACACAACTCCAAATCATTTTCTCTTGCAAATCATTGGCCGACAAAGCTTTCGTTCACTGTCGTTAAGTCTCTGTTCCTTTGTATTTGTGTGTTCATTTTTCTCTGCAAGTATGGGAAACATGTTTCAAGTATTTTTTTTTTTAAAGGTTAAAGCTAATAACGGATGTGACGTTTTAATTTTGATGTGGTGTTTTGAAAGATGATCTCTTACGGAGCTTTTATGAGATGGTTCACAGACAGGGCATCACACATGACTGCATTGTATTTGTAATTTCATAATGTTAAGGAGAGGGAGAATTTAAAAAAAAAGTTTGTTTTTCTAAAGAATGCTGGAACCATCACCCAATGTTCTTTTGGGGTACTCTTGCGTAGTCAAAGGTTATACCAAAGTTATCGCCTCTGTCTCTTTGGTTTCTGTTGTGTGGTTCCGTGTGTCTCGATTACCTGTTTCCATTATTCCAGAAATCCATGAGTCAGATTGCCAAAATGTTGTAACTGTTCTTTTCATGCAAGAGGTCCAAACACCTCATTAGGATAAAAAAAAAACCAGTTTGAAAGCAAGTCTCTGCTCAGACAAAGGGCAGCGTTTTCTTTCTATAAGCTAATTACTACGCTAGACACTGTGTTTACAAAAAAAACAAGACAAAAATACTGAATATAACTGCCTACAGAGATGTGAAACAGCCCTGAGTATACTGTAACAAGCAATCATCTCAAATAATAATAAAAAAAATGTAAATGGAATAGATGTGCCGGTTCATTCTTTTTCTGGAGAGGAACGACATGAAAGGACTCAGAGCCACAGTGGGTTTCAGTAGCATCCAAAGCAGTCAGGTCAGGATTTGTTGTGTTTGCTACCGAGAGGGTCAAATGACACATGGTCCTTGTGAAAATTTCTGAGTCAGGCTTGCTGGTAGTTCTGAGTAACTAAGAGGTCGTAAGAACCAGCACATTGAATTGTACCTGGAAACAGAAGGTAGCCAGTGCAAATTACCGCAACAATAGCCCGTAGACATTGGCTCGTTTGCCTTCTCATTTTATTATTTATTATTTATTTGACTTATATCCCGCCCTCCCTGCAAAGCAGTTTTAGGGAGGCTTACAAAACTGTATAAAACACTATTTATTTGACTTATATCCTGCCCACCCTGCAAAACAGTTTTAGGGAGGCTTACAAAACTGTATAAAACACTAAAACGAGAAGATTAATAAAATCACAACAATACAGTCCTAAATATAATAATGATAAAGTGCTAGAACAACTAGTATAATGATGGCAGACGTTTGCAGCAATCAGAAATATGCAGTCAGCATAGTCTGGGTTGTGTCAGGCTGTTGGTGGTATAATAATATTGATACTGATATTAATGTTGATGTTGGGGCCAGGGCCTTGCTCTAAGTAGTGCGGCTCCCTAATCGAAGGCCTGGTGGAAGAGCTCCGTCTTGCAGGCCCTGCGGAACTGTAAAAGGTCCCGCAGGGCCCTGATGTCCTCCGGGAGCTCATTCCACCAGTATGGAGCCGCCACTGAGAAGGCCCTGGCCCTCGTCACAGCCAGCCTGGCTTCCTTGGGGCCCAGAAGGGCCAGATGGTTTTGGGACCCCGATCGTAGTGTTCTCTGGGGAACGTGGGGAAAGGTGGCCCCTTGGGTACCTAGGCCCCTGACCATATAGGGCTTTAAAAGTAAAAACCAGCACCTTGAACCGAATTCGGTATGTTCTAGACAGCCAGTGCAGTGCTTTTAGCACAAGCTGGATGTGCTCCCGCATAGGGAGACCCAACAACAGCCTAGCTGCTGTGTTCTGCACTAACTGCAGTTTCCAGATTTGGGACAAGGGCAGCCCCATGTCGCAAGCATTACAGTAATCCAGTCTTGAGGCGACCGTTGCATAGATCACTGTTGCCAGGTCATTGCGTTCGAGAAAGGGAACCAACTGCTTAATCAGCCAAAGGTTATAAAAGGCTGACTTCACAGTAGCTGCTACCTGGGCCTCCATCGTTAAGGAGGGTCTAGGAGCACTCCCAAGCTCCAAACCTCCAACACTGGCACCAACAGTGCCCCATCGAAGGTTGGGATGGATTTGACCCTAAGTGATGGAGGGCAATTACCCACAAGATGTCCTCCAAGCCTCAGAGGAAAAAGACCCTTCACGGTAAGCAACCAATGGTCGGTTTCTATGCCAGGCATACAGAGATGTAATATCGGATCTACCCCTAGGGACCAGTTTACGTTTCTGAGCCGTTTTCAGAGGCAGCCCCACGTTGAGTGCATTACGTAATCTAATCTAACAGTCATCAATCTAATTTGCCAAGGTCAGGGCTGACTCTCCACTAATGGGCACACCCTATTGTCTTAACACCTTCTCCTTGCTTAAGGCAGATTCTTAGGAAATATAAATCACAGGCATTTGCAGATACGGCTTCCTGTTGCCATAAACATCTATGGGCACATTCTGCGTTGCTGTTGTTGTGCTTACTTCTGAGTCATCTTTGACTGTCATTGTTCATTCACATCCTGTACTGCCCTCCAAATAATAAAAATGCAGACCGCACTCCTCGTGGAAGAACCAAGCCCAAGATTCGATGGCAACGTTAGTATAAAACCTCCAGTCAGGAATATAGGGATGCTCACATGCTTGGGTAGGAACAAAATGGGAAATAATACGAATCATCAAAGACACTGAATTGTCAAAGAAAAACAAGGTAATAGAATGCTATCACCTGTAAAATGTCTGATTTTTTTTTAATGAACCTGTTAAATGCTGACAAACTAAGGCACACCTGGAATTCTTTGCATTTGCAAACTTGTGGCCGTCGGAGAGGCATCCCTTGACTGAAGCTAAAACCGGAAGTGCAGCGGGCAGAAGATGCTGCTCTGCTGATCAGGAAAGAATGGGCGTCCAGGCACCTGCGATGCCTAGCCCAGCCAGGGTCCCTGCGCTGCCTGTGCCAGTCAGAGGTGCCAGCGTCGCACAATCCAATTACCTTTATTGGCATGTAACACAGACTCCTATACAGCAGAACAACAACAACAACAAAATATTACTTGCAAAAAGAGCAGGTATGAACAGGGTTACTATGTAAAGGTACCAGCAAAGAAAACCAATTAATTAAATAGAGGGCAAATAGAAATGGCACCCGAGAGAAATGTAGCAACCGTTTCCGTTATCTCAAAACTTGGGTTGTCAAGAAGAATAAGAATCTTCAGACTATCAGAATATTCTTCTAATTGAGTCCAAATAGAGTTTAAAAATTTCAGACGTTGCGCATGATAGAAGAAGAAGAAGAGAAGAGATTGGATTTATACCCCGCCCTTCACTTGGAGTCTCAGAGCGGCTTACAAACTCCTTTCCCTTCCCCTCCCCACAACAGACACCCTGGGAGGTGGGTGGGGCTGAGAGAACTCTGACACAAACTGCTCTTTTTCAAGGACAGCTGTGCCAGAGCTTGTGACTGACCCAAGGTCACATCAGCAGGTGCAAGTGGAGGAGTGGGGAATCAAACCCGGTTCTCCCAGATTAGAGTCCGCAC